GCAAAACAACTTGATGTTCGCATTCTGTAATCAATGGTGGAAAATAGCTCTCTCGGTGGGGAGACGGATACAGCGGAGGAAGAAAGTTGAGGATCGTGCATCATTGTAGTGCTGTTTGCCTATCCGAGGAGTTGAAGGCACTTTACTTTTCCCCCATCATCAAGTTCCAAATCAAGCTGACCTCCTTAATGGGCGCACTTTTTCCACCAAATAAAACACGTAATTAGCCTCTTTGCAAAAGTTATTTTTAGTTTTGTTCAAGAATTACTTATATGCACCATTATTAATAATACTGTCTCTTTATTGACAATTACTAATGACTGTATCGAAAATGTTCTGGATATTTTTTTACTAGTACATAATGTGATGGATTTATTTATATGACGGACATATTAATTCTGGGCCCGCCGGTTAGATGTTCTCGGATGATTCATAGAAGATATTTTCCCAAATGTAAAGTATGGTTTTTCACGAAGGAAAATTCAGAACCATAATAATGTTTATGAGAGTACTTTTTTCGAACTTATGTTCCGATTTTGGCGGGATCGACTCCACTGTGGCGTGCCAGAAAGCCCACGGTGCAAGGAGTGAGTGAGGAGAAAACTGATTAACATAAGTCTCGAGTCTCTGAGCAAACACTACCGATGCAATAAGCATAACTCGTAGCACTCAACCAGTGCGTGCCGTGTTGCCTAACAGCCCCTAGGAATTTGGGATGAAACAAAGACTCTTTGAATTGAGGATTTTTGCTCAAAAACTCTTTATGCAAACATTCAAAGTCTAAAAAACGAGAAGATCCAATGCATGAACAAGTTAGAAAACTGTATTCTGACAGAGAAAAACAGGTTAAAATTTTTAAAATAACAGGGATCCTTCTGATCCTTAAAATATAGTTTCCCGCGAGACTAAAAATTCAGTGCCAACCATGTATTTTATTAACATGAAATATTTTGAGACTATAGATAAAAACGGGGGGTTCGGAAGTACTGAAAAAGTGCGGAAATTCCGTTAGAAGGTCCGGAATTTTCCATTTTTGTCGCAATATGAGAGCGAAATTCATATTTTTGAAATTTTTCGAATTTCGTCAAATGGAGGGACTGCAAAAGTACTGAATTTCTCGGAAATGTACTGTAAAAGTACACGGAGAAAAAAACTTCGTGCGTGGGACCCGAAGTTGAGGTCATATAGATCTCTGAAGTTTTCGGATCACGTATCTAAAAACTTGAGGTCCAGCTGCCGAAATTCGGGTCACACATCTGAAGTACTCCGGCACTTACCGAAGTGCCTCGATGTCTGACCCGAACTTCGGCAGTTCGACCTTAAGTTTCCGGATGCGTGATCAGAAAACTTCAGAGATCCATATGAATTGCATTTTGCAAAAAGGAACCACTAGCATTGCAATGTTGCTAAGATTGTGCAACTTCTTTTGTCTTGGAGGAAAAACCCGATTATCCATCAATAGTTTCTATTTTACTCCCTAAAAACTGTAAAAAGACAAAAATTACCATCTAAATTTCATAGTTTTTCACGATTTCTGCAATTTTATTGCAAAAGATGAAGTTGCACAATCTTAGCATCATTACAATGCTAGTGGTTCGTTTTTGCAAAATGCAATCCATATGACCTCAACTTCGGGTCCCATGCACGAAGTGTTTTTCTCCGTGTAGACACCCTGTTTATGCCAAAAAAAAACTACGCGCACAAGGGTTTGCGTCCATCGTATACTTCCTTCCACCATAGGAACATCCAATATTGATCAACTTGACACCATCCGACGAATGACATGAAAATTTCCTCGTTTGTGTTATTCATGATTTCGTAGCGGAGTCGCTAAGCCCTCGCCCCGTTCGGCGAGTGAATACCACCGGCGCGACACCGGGAAGCGATTCTCTATCTCCACATGACAAATTAGCCGAAACTTGAAAATTACAACGGAGCCGAAGGGGGTGGGGGGCGAGGGCGCTCGTAAAGCTGCGTTAAGTATTCCCACTCCCGTTTGTTCACAATACCCGCCTTGATAAGTTTGTTACGTTCGGAACGACGCGACGACGTAATAAAACTCAATTACTCGAGGTGTATCTCTTGCTCCCGGGCCCGCGCTTCAATAGACTCCTTTCGTCCTGAATTTCCGCCTGTCTCTAGAGTACCTATATAGGGAGAGTATGGACATGTCGAAAATCTTGAGGTTAGGTGATGGAACTCTTAGACCCCCGAAAAATACGCAATCTAAGAATTCAAATTATCCAGAGTGATTTATAATTACAATTGTTGGGAACTCTCATTGGTAAAGCACGTATTTGATTTGGTTTTTGAATAAACTTACTCATTTTTGCGGAGGAATGCTTACTTGCAAACCTCTCAATTGTTATCCAACGACCTTACGGCATGGTATCTATGAAGTTTTAAATTTCCTTTTTCCCGGGTTTTCTCGGTTCTAGACACTATGTCTTGTTAGTTATTAGGGTGTTTCGTTCGGGTTCTTGGTTTGGTCAAACCGGCGAGCGATACATCACATCGACTAAATCAGGAATCTTGGCAGATTTTGAATTTATGGCCAAAAGCGGCCGAAATTCCTCACATACTCACACATGGGTCTGAAGAATCATTCTGAACAACAAATTCAAAATTGAAGAAGCGAAATTTAAAATTGGATTTTTTTAAATAAAATAGACGAAAGTCATGGAGAGCCGAGGAAACTCAGCGTTGGCTAAGGTGGGGTGTGGTTGAAGGAAAGGTTTGGTTGTGCGGTTAGATTAGGCCGATGTGTGCTTAGGCTCGACTACGGGGCTAGAACTACGTGCCAGCCGAGCGACTCATGCTTCTGGACCAGGAGTGGAACTGGAATCCTGAGTAAATATATACTAAACACCGTTCAACAAGTGCGCTTTTACGCTTCCCGTGTCTTCCTCAGCTGCCAAATGTGACTCATTTCCGATTTTTAACATTTGAGGTTAAATTGTTACACTATCATGAATTTCAGAGTGAAATTCTGGGCCGAAGTCTACAATTCTACATGGCGTTCAAAAAACTCGAGAGCTATGAATGCAGAGCGGAATCTATCCTCCTTACGGAATGACTTACGACATTACGGAGCGGAGTCTACTCTTTTCGCGGAGTGACATACGCTTTCATGGTGCTAATTTCACTTCACAGTCATATCACACGAGGTTTTTGGGCGCTATACTCCAGTACCGAATTTCACTCCGTGATTTTCAACGTGTTAGACTTGACGTGTGAGTGAAATCCGTGTCAACGCAACTGATTGAAGGTATAAGGAAGTAATTTCAGAAGTCTCATTTGAGGATACACTGGAAAAAAAGTCTCCTGGATCCAGAGTCCATACTCTTTGACAAGATGCTCTTGATTCAATCGGATTTTTGCTTGAGTCAAAAGGAAATCCGCTTGAATTTAGAGGCTGGCTCTCAATTCAAGCAACAATTTGATATAATCGAAAGTATTTTTTCTTGTCAAAGTCTTTAAGAGTCTGGATACTGGAACCAAGAGACTCTTTTTCGAGAGCACGGCAGCGATTTCGAAGGAAATATAAAGAGCATAGCTCATAGTTTTCACTTTGAAATTTTTAAGGAAAGCGTCGATTTGTGCTCCATCATTCTTGGTCCATAAACATGCCCGGACGTTTTAACGTTTTGTAGCGTGGGTTAGGGTAATTTTCCCGCGCAGTAAAACACATTAAAACGCAACTTTTGTAGAACTTTAGACTGCCGCCTGACAGATGAGGCGCAGCTAACCGGGTTAAAAATAAATTAGCTCAAGACGACGGAAACTTTGAGCTAATCTGCTGAAAGAGGCATGGATGCGAACTACATTACGTTACGGCGAGTTCCAAGCAACATTTTTGAGATGTATTAGTGATTTACGGTGTCGTTATAGGCAGATTCACTTCAAAGTCTGCACGCTTTAATTTTTACCTGCTCAAAATAGGATGGAAGTGTGCTCCAAGCTCTCGCTCAGAAATGTTTTAGTTTAGGAGTTGAAAATTCATATTCTCTAAAGTTGTGTAGAGAGTAAACTAATCGGTCATAACGTTCCGAAAATTTTATTTTGAGATTTGGTAAAACTACAAAAATAAGTATTTTGCAAAAATGTTGGCACAAAAAAGGCCAAAAGGTATCAAAGCAAACCGGTTTGATAATGGTTTGAATTATCAGCACAAAAATCGTAGTTTTCAGAGAAGAATACTCGAAGTTTTCTTCGATCTTGATCTGGGTAAAGAATTGTTAAATGAAATTTAACATCGCCACGAAAAACGCTCGCAACTTCTTCTTTTCGATACACCGCGTGCGTTATCCGTGGGAAATTGGCAATAACCGCTTTCTGGAAAAATTTGCCTCCTATGAAGTCGCTTCTCCCATAGTTGTGTATGGTCAAATATTCATAATTAATGTGATGAATTCAGTTGAAATTCAGAATCTACATGTAGGGAAAATCAAGGGGAAAAGGGAGAAGGAAGCAGGATACTGCCGTAAAAACGCCATGTGATATGAGCATTCAAATATTGCCAAATTTCCTCGCAGGAAATATATTTATTATTGAAGAAAGTTATGAATATCTTTCCTTCCAATTTTCAGAATTTTTAGATGAAATTATGGACGAAAGCCTCCAAAAAATCGGAAGAGAAATGTTCAAAAATTTTCCTCAAAATTCGTGATTTGTCGAATGAAATTTGGCAAAGACTGATGGCTTATACAACGTTTTGCCTTAGCATGGCAGGGTATATTGCACAAGAAAACGGAGGGTATTTCAATCATTCAACCGCGGCGCTGTTGTTCTTTCGGTGTCATTTGCAGCGTTCATAAAAAGCTGGAAACAAGAGAAAATAGAACTCCAAGACGCGTTGATTCCTATTTCAGATTCCTATTTACAGTTAAATAAAGAGAAAAAAAGAGGCGGGAGCCGTGAGGAGGAACATTTGTTTCAGCCGCAGAGCAAAAAACGAAGAAGAGCACGGTTGAAAAAATATAAAACATGGAAATACTCACGCAAACGGATGACTTGGAGCAAATGGCCTCGAAAGCCGGGAAAGATTCGAGGAGTTGGCAGTTCTCCCAGCACTGAAACAAAAAAAAACGAACGAGGACTAAGTACAATCATTACTGCGACCGAACACAGATTTGATGAGCAATGTAATCATATTTATTTATGTCATAAAACTACTTTTCTGTCTCCTCGATAGACGGAATAAGCGTTCGCTTCCAGGGGTTGTCGAGACGTCTCGTCCTTGAGAAAGAAAATATCCTCTTTCGTTTGAAAAAGGAGAAAAATCATTTTCTCGTGCAGCACTTGAAAACCTTGATATGCACATGCAGATATCGTAGCGCTGCCATGATATTGGATACCGTGTTCAGAGAGCCCCCGGGAGGTCCCTTCATGTATAATTGGAGAGGTAGCTTTGGTTACGATTTTGTCTCGTACGAAATCATGCATATTTCTCGGATCCCACATCTGTAGTTTTTCAGTAAATTTACTTTAGACAGTCCACATTCATCACTAATTTTTGTCTAGCAATAACTGATGAATTCTGTGAACATTGAAGATTATAGATTTCGTAAAGATATTTCCGTTCTTTACGATGAGCTTTTAGAAAAAAGATAGATAAACGATACAGTTGTTGTTCACGAAGATCCAGGAAAGTTAAGGGAGTTTCAAAAGGCCTTTTATTACAGTATCATGGGAAGGACAAATGAATCCTATTGGAAATGAATCGTTGGTAGAGATTGTAGTGGTGTGCCACTGCAAAAAATACACTGTACCAAACGAAAAATGTAGCTAATTTTGCAAATTTTAAGGTATGTCTGCTTCTACCTTGAAGTCTGTTGAAATCATAAACATTTTTATTTTGTAATTTAGGCTGTGATAAGTCATTGTAATCCCTTGCAAGGATCTATTCATGATATTGTATTGTCGAGTTTTGCCCGAAATTCGTGAAATTTGTCCTCTCCATGATAATACATTAGAGACTTCTTTGGCCAAGCATATAAGCCACATGGAGCTTCCTGAAGGAAAGAGCTGCTCAAGGAACGACTGTGAAGTTGACCCAACCACGATGATTAAATGGACGTATCTTTGCTAAAGGGAACTATGTTGCACACAAATCCTATACACATACAGTTTCTTTTAGCATAAATATGCCCATATAATACTTATCGGCTTAACTCTTGTCTCGCCTGATCACATCGCTCAGGTAGCTAATGCGATGTCTCTAAAATATTCGGTTTTCGCGCGGCCCGTAATAAAAATGAAAATAACCGAATCTTTCACCCGTCTGCTTATCTTAAATGATGGTCGCCCTCAATTTGTCGCGCGAGCGCGAGATATGTACTTAACAATTCGCTTTCCAATTCAAATTCCAAAACCTGCAACTTGTCAACTGGATCTTAAGAGGGCGATTAATGCACTAACGGTCCTCGCCAATACGACCACAAGACAGGCGAAACCGGCTCGCACACAATAACACGATCTCTATAATCGTCGTTTAACCTGCAAAAGAACGTAACTACATTCCAGTGTTGCCGAATTTCCCCTCGCAAATTGCATTTTTACCATGAGAATTTTGGGTATCTTGAACTGAAAATTTGACAGATTTTTCTTCAGACTTTATGCAAAAATCAGACAAATTTTGGACAAAAATTTCACAAATACATCATTTAAAAAAATTGAATTTTTTCGGTCAATTTTGCAACCTTGGAAAAGAGTTACGTTTCTTCGTCCGAGAGACGACCAAATCCGCTAAAAACGTGCGATAACGTGATGTGCGCGAGTTTATGACGGCTCGAATTTCAAGCTCGATACGCGTAGCGATGCGTATCAAAAAAACATCCCAACAGTTGATAAAACATCACTTAAAAGGACAATAAAGCGAGGGAGAGGAATAATTCCGACCAGGATCGCAGGTAGAAGGACGTTCAATATTAAAAGGACAACTTCCCTAATGAAACCGCGTGACCGCACATTACGATGAGCCATGGGGAGGATAGAGTTTTATGGACGAGAAGGCTCACCTCCACATCTCGAATTGAAGGTATGCTGTTTCGCGAGCGGCGCGGCGATTTATACGGTGATAAAATCTCAATGAGAGAGCGACCACCTCGGAGGTGCGAAATAAGGAGAGGTGGTGACAAATGTCCCCGGCTGACGTCATAACGCGGCAGACGCGCGCAAGAAAAATCACCGCTTCATCGGGGGAAGGGGGGTGGAGGGGTGTCGTAAGATGCACCTGAGGAAATAGTTTCCGCGCCTCCGACATTCTACCGTGCGGGATATGGCCGATGAAAAATTTATTGTGAGCTTCGTTGGACGGTCGGTAAAATATTTAAAGGACGTCTCGGCGTCCCCAAGACGAAAGATCGTAAGTGCCCTCGAACTTGCGAAATTGTCTCTGGCGAATTGTATTTTTACTGAGAGATCGTTGGAAGTTTTTAACTGAAAAATTCACCGATTTAAGCCCTACAGGCAAAAATCGGCAACATTACGGAAAGAATTTGCACAGTTGTTATTACTCTTTCTAAATGATGAATAGGAAAATACAAGAAAATCCAGCAGAGATTTTCCCGATGACACAAACTTTCATCGCCCATCATCTTCGCCTCCCACCAATTGACGTGCAACATCACCGCTCGATTTGGATTGCAGTTTGCGATTAGAAACTACAATTTCTGGCTCGGTTTAGGAACAACGAATGTACCCTTAGTTTCCCTATGCACATAGGTCTCTTTACGGATAAGACAGAAATAGTAATTCCCAAAATTACAAAATGTAGCCCTTTTGGTGTTGATACCGGAGCTGATGTGCGTCCATCCGTCCCTCTATTGGCGGATCCAGCATTGGCAACATTGTTTTTCCCCATTTAAACCTATGGAAATGTATAGATTTTCATAGAGGTTAGGTGCTCTGACAAGAATCGATTATTTAACATAGGTTTTAATGGAGAAAATCCGATGTTGCCAAATTGCTGCTGCGTCCGTCCCCGCTGAGAGCGGCGCGGGACGGCATGCAAATCGGCCGACGCGACGCGACGTTCGATTTCTCCGGGAGACCCTGGACCCGACGAGCGTCATTAAACGGGGATTTTTTTTCGCTAATCGTTAAACGAAAATAAATATTTACAAGCCGTTAAACGGTTTTTATGCGGGCATAAATATTAAATTACCTGTTGATATCGTCATGGGTCGTAAAGACGGGGGAGGCGGGACACTCCCACGGACCCATGTTGCCGCGTTGACCGCCGTCCATGGTTCCACTAAATTCTTCGACAAGGCCGTTTCTGGCTCTTTACAGAAACATCATATGTGCCATTAACTTTCTAAGTAGGGAAGTGCTTTTCAGATGAGCTAGAGATAGTAGTTCATCATTCCAAAATGTCAAAAAAAAAAAGGAGCACTGGAAAAGAAAACACAGTCCAGACTCTTGAAAACACTGACAAGAAAAAATACTCTTGATTCAATCGGATTTTTGCTTGAATCAAAACGAAATCCGCTTAAATTAAGAGGCTTGGTTCTTGATTTAAGCTAGATTCTGATTGAATCAAGAGTACTTTTTCTTGTCGATGTTTTTAAGAGTCTCGACTCTAGATCCAATGTGTTTTTTTTCCAGCGAGCGCTTCTGCCAGAAATAGGGTAAATTCTACTATGTGTCTACTAGGTTTTTGACTCAGTGACACTGTTGAGCAAGGATAACCAGTCGTCCAGTAGCATTTACCATACTTTTGGTGAATGAGGAAAAAAAAACACTAAGAAATGACCCGAACTGTATGTAACAAGGTGGTGGAATGGTGCCGAGTCCACGCCATTCCGCGGGGAAAACAAAGACAGAATGTTCAAAAATTTCAGTTTGAGTCAAAAGTGTTGAGCTCTAATAAGGTACCAGTACAAGATTGAGGCGGAGAATGTTCAGCTCAAGCCAACTTGCATTGGGATATTAAGTTGAGATCACGCAGAGAGATCTATGGAGAGCTACGAGAGATCTAGCATTGTTTCCCCCGCGAAATGATGTGGACCCAGCACCATTTTACCACCTTATGGTAAACGTGGTTAGAGGTACAGCATTTGCTACCATAGAGTCTGTTGGAGATTACCGCACTCACATTATTTTACCTTTAATCATACTGTTTTTCTGTGTAGTTCCACCGTTTTGGATTCGGCCATTGGGTTCAAGAAAGATCGAAAGATCTGATCACGGTGACTACAACTTCAAGAAAAATATTTTCCACCTTTTCTGGATTTTTCAAACAAAATGACGATGAGTCTCTAAAGCATTTCATGCACGAATCCTTGGGTAAAATAGATTCTTATTCCTTTCGCTTGAACCTGCCTGTTTAGATCAAAAGAGCTGAAAGAGAAACGAGGAGGATGGAGAAAGAGAGAAGATTAAATACAATTTTGCCTTGTCTGTTAGTTTGCATTTTGTTTAAGCTGTTGTTGTAAGATTTTGTTGAGCCATTCCATCGTCAGTGCATTTCAGTTTGACAATCTACCTTTTGCAAAGAAAAAGAACACGAGGGAGCGGTTGAAACAAGGAATACAAAATTAATTAATTACTTGAAAAAACCTGTCTCATTCCATGTTTCAGATGCATTCCACGGAAAAAGAAATCAGTGTAATACCAATCCACCAGACTGGCGCAGAAGACGCAAAATAAAAGTTTCGTAGCAGATCGGTGGCGACTTTTCCAAGAATGAAGAGCATGCATTATGAGAGAGTTTTCGTGGTTTGCTTCACGATTTTTTGACTGACAGGCCTAAAATCAGTCAACGATTAGACAACGCGGCGACGGAATTAGCTCAAGCCGACGGAGGGTATAAAAACACTAATTTATCGAGACATTTAGTACTCTGCCATTATTTAAACATTACTTCACATGATGCTTTTTCCCTTTCTATTTCAACCCTATACTTCCTGCACCGGAGCGAACCTGCCCCCATCGAGGCCGAGGCAGAGGAGAGCAGTAATTTGTCTTATCGTCGAGTGCGCCCAAGTAACCGGGGGATTAGAGCCGGCCATTTTGTCCTCCGAAATTAGGAGGATTAGGTTTTTATTAAATCGGCCATTTTGACCCT